TGCCTCACCTGCAGCCATGTGTCAATAGTCAGAGAGATTTAGTATGCCTCATCTAAAGACAAGTGTCAATAGTGAAAGAGATTTAGTATGCCTCACCTACAGACAAGTGTTAAATAGTGACATAGATTTAGTATGCCTCAGCTAGAGACAAGTGTAAATTAATAGTGATGGAGATTTAGTATGCCTCACCTAAAGACAAGTATTAATAGAGATTTAGTATGCCTCACCTAAAGACAAGTGTTAATAATGATAGAGATTTAGTATGCCTCACCTACAGACAAATGTTAATAGTCATAGAGATTTAGTATGCCTCACCTAGAGACAAGTATTAATAGTGACATAGATTTAGTATGCCTCACCTAGAGACAGTGTTAATAGTGAAAGAGATTTAGTATGCCTCACCTAGAGACAAATGTTAATAGTCATAGAGATTTAGTATGCCTCACCTAGAGACAAGTGTAAATTAACAGTCATAGACATTTAGTATGCCTCACCAAGAGACAAGTGTAAATTATTAGTGATAGAGATTTAGTATGCCTCATCTAGAAACAAGTATTAATAATGATAGAGATTTAGTATGCCTCACCTAGAGACAAGTGTTAATTAATAGTGTTAGAGATTTAGTATGCCTCACCTAGAGACAAGTTTTAATATAGTGATAGAGATTTAGTATGCCTCACCTAGAGACAAGTGTTAATAGTGACAGAGATTTAGTATGCCTCACCTAGAGACAAGTGTAAATTAATAGTGATAGAGATTTAATATGCCTCACCTAGAGACAAGTGTAAATTATTAGTGATAGAGATTAAGTATGCCTCATTTAGAGACAAGTATAAATAATAATAGAGATTTAGTATGCCTCGCCTAGACACAAGTGTTAATAGTGAAAGAGATTTAGTATGCCTCACCTAAAGACAAGTATTAATAGAGATTTAGTATGCCTCACCTAGAGCCATGTGTTAATAGTCAGAAAGATTTAGTATGCCTCACCTAAAGACAAGTGTTAATAATGATAGAGATTTAGTATGCCTCACCTACAGACAAATGTTAATAGTCATAGAAATTTTGTATGCCTCACCTACAGACAAGTGTTAATAGAGATAGAGATTCAGTATGCCTCACCTAGAGACAAGTGTTAATAGTAATAGAGATTTAGTATGCCTCACCTAGAGACAAGTGTTAATTAATAGTGATATAGATTTTGTATGCCTCACCTAGAGACAAGTGTTAATTAATAGTGTAAGAGATTTAGTATGCCTCACCTAGAGACAAGTGTTAATATAGTGATAGAGATTTAGTATGCCTCACCTAGTGACAAGTGTTTATAGTGATAGAGATTTAGTATGCCTCACTAGAGAAAAGTGTTAATAATGATAGAGATTTAGTATGCCTCACCTAGAGACAAGTTTTAATAGTGTTAGAGATTAAGTATGCCTCACCTAGAGACAAGTATCAATTAATGGTTATAGAGATTTAGTATGCCTCACCTAGAGACAAGTGTTAATATAGTGATAGAGATTTAGTATGCCTCACCTATTGACAAGTGTTAATAGTGATAGAGATTTAGTATGCCTCACCTAGAGACAATTGTTAATAGTGATAGAGATTTAGTATGCCTCACCTAGAGACAATTGTTAATAGTGAAAGAGATTTAGTATGCCTCACCTAGAGACAAGTGTTAATTAATAGTGTAAGAGATTTAGTATGCCTCACCTAGAGACAAGTGTTAATATAGTGATAGAGATTTAGTATGCCTCACCTAGTGACAAGTGTTAATAGTGATAGAGATTTAGTATGCCTCACCTAGAGAAAAGTGTTAATAGTGATAGAGATTTAGTATGTTTTACCCAGAGACAAGTGTTAATAGTGTTAGAGACACCTAGAGACAAGTGTTAATAATGATAGAGATTTAGTATGCCTCACCTAGAGACAAGTGTTAATAGTGATAGAGATTTAGTATGCCTCAGATATCAATTAATGGTTATAGAGATTTAGTATGCCTCACCTAGAGACAAATGTTAATATAGTTAGAGATTTAGCCTCACCTAGTGACAAGTGTTAATAGTGTTAGATTTAGTATGCCTCACCTAGAGACAAGTGTTAATAGTGATAGAGATTTAGTATGTTTTACCCAGAGACAAGTGTTAATAATGTTAATACAGACAAGTGTTAAATAGTGACATAGATTTAGTATGCCTCAGCTAGAGACAAGTGTAAATTAATAGTGATAGAGATTTAGTATGCCTCACCTAAAGACAAGTATTAATAGAGATTTAGTATGCCTCACCTGCAGCCATGTGTCAATAGTCAGAGAGATTTAGTATGCCTCATCTAAAGACAAGTGTCAATAGTGAAAGAGATTTAGTATGCCTCACCTACAGACAAGTGTTAAATAGTGACATAGATTTAGTATGCCTCAGCTAGAGACAAGTGTAAATTAATAGTGATGGAGATTTAGTATGCCTCACCTAAAGACAAGTATTAATAGAGATTTACCTCACCTACAGACAAATGTTAATAGTCATAGAGATTTAGTATGCCTCACCTAGAGACAAGTATTAATAGTGACATAGATTTAGTATGCCTCACCTAGAGACAGTGTTAATAGTGAAAGAGATTTAGTATGCCTCACCTAGAGACAAATGTTAATAGTCATAGAGATTTAGTATGCCTCACCTAGAGACAAGTGTAAATTAATAGTCATAGACATTTAGTATGCCTCACCAAGAGACAAGTGTAAATTATTAGTGATAGAGATTTAGTATGCCTCATCTAGAAACAAGTATTAATAATGATAGAGATTTAGTATGCCTCACCTAGAGACAAGTGTTAATTAATAGTGTTAGAGATTTAGTATGCCTCACCTAGAGACAAGTTTTAATATAGTGATAGAGATTTAGTATGCCTCACCTAGAGACAAGTGTTAATAGTGACAGAGATTAAGTATGCCTCACCTAGAGACAAGTGTAAATTAATAGTGATAGAGATTTAATATGCCTCACCTAGAGACAAGTGTAAATTATTAGTGATAGAGATTAAGTATGCCTCATTTAGAGACAAGTATAAATAATAATAGAGATTTAGTATGCCTCTAGACACAAGTGTTAATAGTGAAAGAGATTTAGTATGCCTCACCTAAAGACAAGTATTAATAGAGATTTAGTATGCCTCACCTAGAGCCATGTGTTAATAGTCAGAAAGATTTAGTATGCCTCACCTAAAGACAAGTGTTAATAATGATAGAGATTTAGTATGCCTCACCTACAGACAAATGTTAATAGTCATAGAAATTTTGTATGCCTCACCTACAGACAAGTGTTAATAGAGATAGAGATTCAGTATGCCTCACCTAGAGACAAGTGTTAATAGTAATAGAGATTTAGTATGCCTCACCTAGAGACAAGTGTTAATTAATAGTGATATAGATTTTGTATGCCTCACCTAGAGACAAGTGTTAATTAATAGTGTAAGAGATTTAGTATGCCTCACCTAGAGACAAGTGTTAATATAGTGATAGAGATTTAGTATGCCTCGCCTAGTGACAAGTGTTAATAGTGATAGAGATTTAGTATGCCTCACCTAGAGAAAAGTGTTAATAATGATAGAGATTTAGTATGCCTCACCTAGAGACAAGTGTTAATAGTGTTAGAGATTAAGTATGCCTCACCTAGAGACAAGTATCAATTAATGGTTATAGAGATTTAGTATGCCTCACTTAGAGACAAGTGTTAATATAGTGATAGAGATTTAGTATGCCTCACCTAGAGACAAATGTTAATAGTGATAGAGATTTAGTATGCCTCACCTAGAGACAGGTGTTAATAGTGATAGAGATTTAGTATGCCTCACCTAGAGACAAGTGTTAATAGTAATAGAGATTTAGTATGCCTCACCTAGAGACAAGTGTTAATTAATAGTGTAAGAGATTTAGTATGCCTCACCTAGAGACAAGTGTTAATATAGTTATAGAGATTTAGTATGCCTCACCTAGTGACAAGTGTTAATAGTGATAGAGATTTAGCATGCCTCACCTAGAGAAAAGTGTTAATAGTGATAGAGATTTAGTATGTTTTACCCAGAGACAAGTGTTAATAGTGTTAGAGACACCTAGAGACAAGTGTTAATAATGATAGAGATTTAGTATGCCTCACCTAGAGACAAGTGTTAATAGTGATAGAGATTTAGTATGCCTCACCTAGAGACAAGTATCAATTAATGGTTATAGAGATTTAGTATGCCTCACCTAGAGACAAGTGTTAATATAGTGATAGAGATTTAGTATGCCTCACCTAGTGACAAGTGTTAATAGTGTTAGAGATTTAGTATGCCTCACCTAGAGACAAGTGTTAATAGTGATAGAGATTTAGTATGTTTTACCCAGAGACAAGTGTTAATAATGTTAGAGATTTAGTATGCCTCACTTAGAGACAAGTGTTAATAATGATAGAGATTTAGTATGCCTCATCTAGAGACAAGTGTTAATAGTGATAGAGATATAGTAACAAGCATTAAAAGTAATAGTGATTTAGTATGCCATACTTAGAGACAAATGTTATTAGTCTTAGGGTAATTTAAATGCCTCACATAGAGACAACTCATTCATATTTTGAGTGTCCTCTTAATGTGCAACAAGGACTTAGAATTAACATTGTTCCCAGAACTACTATTTACAGCAGCTGAGTTGGATATTCATAATTTTGAACATGATTGGGAGTGTCACATAGATGTGCATTGAAGGTATTTGAATTTCGAGAAAAAATCTATTATTTAAGAGTACAAACTGGTGACCATGCAGGGCATAGAACACAGACTCCCAGGAATGTCAGAGGTGGGATCAGGTGCTTAGAAGGACTAAACATCCCCTGTTGACCGTCACGCCCACCGTGAACCATATGTACCGTTACGTTTGTGTACGGCGAGCACTGTGGCCTATGGGACGCTTGATAAACCTGCAGTCAAAAAATATGATGAATGAAGGCGGGAGATTACTGTTAGACTTTTAATCTTCCTGGTGACGATAAGGCTTGTAATCTATGTAAACTTTGACATATTAAGGTGTCAAACACAAGATTATGTTGACATACCGTTATAGCCCAATACTATATCAGTAAAGACCAGATAGTAGTTTTGAAAATCGTAGTTTAAATGGAAAATAAGCTCTGCAATAATGGTACGTTTTTCATACTCAGGTTTTAACGTTTGTTCAGTGTAGGTTTGAGAGGTTTGCATATATCCATCTTCTTTTATAGTATTTGACCTTTTTGACTCAGTATCCTAACCCATTTTATCAACTAAAGACGTTAAATGATGTGAAGTGTTTTACACTTAACGATCAGTGACTTTGATAATTTAATATGTTTAATATATATATGTACATCTACAAACATGAAATATATTGAAAAGTCAAAACATTCAGTTTCTTTTGTTTTTCAGTTGTATTGTAAAATCACAGAGGTTTGTTTTTTATTATCCATGACATTGTTGGCTTCTGTTGTTGCAGGTAAGTTTTGAACTAAGAGAGCGTGGTTTTGTTATACTTCCCTTGCTCTCACAAGGTCGTTAAACTGTGCATGTGATCAAAGTTAAAAACATAGATGTAGTACGTACCAGTATGTTAAAACACAATTTTCTCAAGAAAATTATTAACATTTCGATTTCTAAAGTGAGATACCAAGTTGAGATAATTTTGTTGTGCGAACCTGTATAATTTCATGCGATCGAACCCGGCTGACCGCCACATTCCTCCCTCCTTAAAGGTCTTTGGCCCTCCAAAGACCTCAACCCAGGCTCATCACTGGCAGGTCTTTCACCTGTCAATTCCAAATCCTGGTCACGGCACCAAATGTAACGAGAGAGGAGAAAATGCAGCGGACTAGACCGGGATTAGAACCCGGGCCCCCTGAAACTCCGGTCAGGTACTCTACCAACTGAGCTATCTGGCCACCAGCGATCGAACCTGGCTGACCGCCACACACAGATGATAACTAGTACTCAATGTCAAAATGTTGACAGTCTGTTTTAATTATTCTGTCCGTCTGCTCCTACATTTTTAGCAGTTTCCCAATTTCCTCTGACGTGTTCATTGATGTGTGCAGCGTTTATCAAGTTGAACACACCAAAGATCGAGATCGTGCCCTTTTTACAAAAACGAAGTGTCACTGGGTGAGTTCAAATCGTTAATCTCTGCACACATCACAGGGAACGCCGAAGGACTGACAATACTGGTGAGTTGGTTTTGCTTTCTCGCATTTCAACTCTGAATTTTCTGGATTAATGATATATAGTTTCAATATTTAACATTAATACATTTCCCCATATACTCAATGTTAAAGTGGTTGAGGGTAGCATATGTTCATCGTTTATTTCAATATTATCTTCAGTCTTTTCTTTGCAAAGAGATACACAGCACAACATTACACATGTTGAAAATTATGAAAATAAGTTTAAAATGGTAGAAAATGCAATTTCATTTTTTGATTAAAAAAACGGGCTTTATTAAAAACCTCTCCTTTTTAAAGGTATTACAAAGACATATATACGTAAATTGCTTCTCTTGTGACCAAAACATGTGAATTGATGAGTACATTTAGAAGCAAACACCTGCAGTTCGGGGATTGAGTAAACTACTATACAGCATCCATTGTAAAATTTTATATTGACCTCGAATTCTCTCATGTGTTACTCTCCTCATTCTCAGGAATAAGTAAATTATGCTGATCTAATAATACTTTTGGATTCATTAGTCCTATTTTATATTCTCTTAGTACCGGCCAGAATTTATTATGTTAAACTCAAGAAATATATTTCTTCTCGTATATATAGTTTGTGAAAAAAACCCTTGCAGCAGTGATCCTTACAAAAAGTCTGGCGGTCTGTCTGGTCTGGTGGATAAGGGAAATATTGGTGTTCCGATTGTCGATTCGGTTGTGTGCAATCCCTCGCCAGAACCTGGCGTTTACAAGATCAAAGTTAAGTGTAGGACCGATGGCTACCGGGTAGACGGACCGACAGAATCCACTTGTAAAACTAACAATTGGTTTCCAAAACCACCTCAGAAATGTGTTCGTAAGTTATTTCTTATGTTCTACGTAAAATCTCTCAAGGGATTAATAAAAAAAGATTGTATTTGAAATTTCATTCGGTTGAATTGCGCCTTGGTCTTTTTATTCTAATACTCCTGTCACAGCCTTATACATATCTCTCAATGATATATAATTTTGTTATAAAAACGACAGAAAATTGAGTTATAATCAAATTTTTTTTCAGCCATAGAGGCGGTGGCGAAGAAGGATCATAAGTGGGAGTATATCGGCGGTGGTCTGGGTGGTGGCGCGCTGGCTATTGTTCTATTGGTCGTTATCATCTCTGTCGTCTGCTACAGGGCCAAACTTAGGTGGGGACGCACTTTCTTGCTTTGAATACTTTCATATGTACGAGTATTGTAGTCTTTAGTGGTCGATGTAATATGGAGATGACGAGCTGCAATCAAGTTTAAAAGTTCTTTTTAAAACAATACTTGTCGGTACCAGAGCAAAGACGACCTCCAAAAACATCAGAGATGGGCTCAGGTGCTACGAAGGAGTAAGCATCCCCTGTCGTTCACACTCACCGTGCACTTCGTGTCATGATCGAACAACGAAAAAAATCCTTGACAATTCAGTGTTTTATTAATGGTCTGACAATTAGTATGAAAAATGCCAGTCGTCGTTTAACTCAACTTTTTTATAGTAAATATCTAAATACGAAACATATGTACCGGACTCTGTGGTATCCTTTTATTTTAAATTCACTGGAATATGTCGAGTTGACATATGTATGGAAGTTATTGCTAATTGATAAGTCAATGTATCTAAATGAGTTGAATGCTACGGCAAGTTTTTTTTTTCTTTTCAAGTATAAGTTTTTGAATAAATTCGGATTGCAAGGAATATGAAAATGGATCTGCTAATAACAGTGCGTAATTGGTACCCATGGGAATTTCGACAGAGTGTTTGAATCTCTAAAACTATGTAATATTCTCAATCAGAAACTCAAGCATCTTTTTAATATTCAACTCAAGAGTACTTGTGCACAATCAGAATATTTTAACAAAATAAATGTGTAAATAAACAATGACAATTAATTGAGTTAAGTACATTTACGATTTTTATGTTTACTAAAAAAAAAAAAAAAGCAGCTTCTAAGACGTCCAAACGCCCTGACTTTATGGGGAATGGTTGTATTTTGAAGTGTTGAAAAGTCGTGCGTTTTTATTTTGTGATTTTAATTTTCTAAAAGTTGGTCAATTATTAGATTATATTATTCGACCTTTAGTTGATTTTTTAGGTTATTTGTACATTATCTTTTTAATTGGCATTTAATTATTTGTATATATTTTTTTATTGTTTATGTTTGATCATTTTTACATTTTCTCATGTAGATCAGAAAAAGAAAAGGAAGAAATGTTAAAGATGAAGAGATTTGGGTCACACCCACTTGGACCTAACGGAGAACGATTCTACAAAAACAGTTACCATCAACCAATTGATACCAAGTAAATAAATACTTGTTTATCAAAAATATATAAAAAGATGAAGATATTTGTTAGTTAATAGCGTTATCCTACTTTTGATATTTTTAGTCTTCATAAAGTTTGGACAATTAAAAGAACCCGAAAAAAGTTCTTCTATGCAGACACATTGAAGGAACTGTTGGCAAAAGGTGAGGAATTTGTTTTCTAATGGGATGTTGTAACAGTTAATCTTAATTCTGTCTTCTATTGAATGAATTGAATGACTACATCCCTCGCTTTCTGACCTTGATTCAGCTGGTACAGAATTCGGATGTCAAGGTCATATTCGATTGGTACTGGAGGAAGACGGAACACAGGTGGAAACGGATGAGACTCTGAGAGCATGCGCGGGGAGGGTCATGCTGGTACTCGGAGGCGATGAAACTTGGCATCCAGAGACTAAACTCTATGATAATGAGGCTTACAGGCAAATGAAACAATCTGTCTATTAGATTACACGTACAAACTAGTAAATTATATATATGCAGCGATAATATTTCAAAATATTCTCTTAGTATGATTTTTTTTTTGCAGACTGACATTTGATGTGTGCTCTTTTGATCGAAAAGACAGAAAACTAGTCCTAGCCGACAGTATAAAGGATCTTAAATATCAAGGTACAGGTATCGCAACAAAATGAGAAAAGTCAGTAAAGTCAGTATGAAGGCTGAAAAAAATGGCGAACATGCACATGCTTAGAAATATTTTATGTACGTAGAAAGCAACGGACGGAAGAATTAAACACGTGAGTAACCTTAATTTTTAGGATCTTCCAGCTTCGGTTACCCTGTAACTTCTGTTTGTCTGGAAGAGGATGGTACAGTTATTGATAATGACAGGACGTTGTGTTCGTGTTCCACGAAAACACTCATGCTTCTTGGCGCCGAGCATGCGTGGAAGGGATCTCCCAGCGCCTTGGTAACTTTACCATCATCATATACAGATATGTCGGTTACAGATCCAAATACGGAGAGCTGCAGTGATGAGTCTCAAGTGTATGTTAACCTAATATTAGAAGTTTATCTTTTAAGAACCTATATAAATAATAAAATAGAATTCATATACCGTATAAGCAGAAATTTTAGCGAGGATTGAGTGGCATTACATAATTGTTTAAATTTGTAAAAGCTTATATAGTTATAAAAATCGGGACAAATCGCTAAATTTTTTAATATGTCCACTTATACGGTAATACTGTTACACACCTCTACAAAATTCCGTGATTACAACAGGGGGATGTACAAAGTGTGGACAGAGGACCGACAAATAAAGAAAGTCGTTTTTGCTGAAAATATTATTGACCTACATCTCAAAGGTCAGTAATAAGCGATCCGCAAATCAGATTCAATGTTTTCTATCCCATTTTTCTTTCTAAAATGGACTCTCTACTTTCTGGTATTCTAATTTAAGCTTCAAAAGCCCTTGGTCTCCGGACACCGGTGGTGGTAACTTTAGAAAACAACCAGACATTTGAAATCACAGATGATGACATCCTTAAAGAAAACACTGGAAAAATACTGATTGTCAGAGAGAAAATCACAGAAACTGGTTTTAACCAGGTTAATGGTAAGCATGTTGTGGTAAAAGAGAACAAGGCTGTTCATTTTTCTTTGCCAATGATAATAATAATCGTGAGTACACTAAATAATACTGACAATAATTATTTATAGATCCTTTATATGATGATCCTGTAGGACAGAACAAGTATAGTTCGCAACAATCCTGGACAGGGCACCAATTGAACTCTGTGAATTACAATCATGGTGCGATAAGCAATCAAATGTATGTTGCACGAAATTCTGTACATGAAAACTCTGGTTCACAACAGATTTCTAGAGGATTTGTAAACCACTTTCAAAACCCAAGATTCAGTTCCAGCTCCTCGTTTCATGCATAGGCCGTGTTTAAAAGAAGTGTTTGTGTCATGATTTTGCACCCAGTTTTCAAAACAAAAAATATTTATGCGGAAAATATATTTGAATATGGTGTACATTAATAAACTACATATTGCCAGATCAGCACAATCATGATTATTTTTTCTGCATTTTGTTCAGGCTTGGTGAGTGGCCCCTAACTTCAACTGAAAGTCATTAGTACAACATATTGGTAAATCTTCTAAAACCAAAGATGATAGGAAAAAAATGAGGATAACACATCTGAAATATATGATAAATTTATTGTATACATATTGATGTATACAAACTATACACAGTGCATCAAGAAAATGTTTATGTACATAGCTATGATTTCTGGCATCCTGAGGGGCCAAAATTTTATGCGAAAAAACTTTGATAAGAAAGATAATCCCATCATGTTAAAGAGCAGTCTTACCAGAGTCAAGTATTAAATGGAGACTTTATATAGCCAGTTCATTCAAAACCAGTATTATGAGTAAACACATTTTAATTTTTCATTCAGGACTAGTATTTTTATAAATTTACTTATGTTTTACAAAACATGTTTTACATAAAACATGTGCATGTTTTACATAAAACATGTGCATCCAACTTTTTTAACCTTTAAGAATTGGGCAATTACACCTCTTTACAAACAATTTTAAAAACTACAGTAATTTATCATGTACATTGACAATATATAGATTTGCCCTTATTATTACTTTTTTTTCTTTAAAATTGTTTTTTAAGGAAGATTACTCTTTCTGGTGGATGCACAGATAGCAATATGATATTCTGACCTTTAGCAGCACTTTAGTTTTTTAATGTGATTATTATATGTATGGCATTAAGTATTACTTTTGTTCAATATTTCTTGTGATAATAAATATTACTCTTTCTTATCAATGTGTCCAGTTTTCTTATCATGGATATAGGATCTCTCATAATTTGCAGTTGGTTATGATTTTAGGCCTATATAGCCTTAACAGTCACCTGAGTATTACCCTGTAAAGGATTCAGGCAATGGTTATGCTAAATTGTTATAAAGTAACATAAAATACTGTAAGTTGAAAAATGGGAGAATAAGGGACCAATAAGAGTTAGTCTGTAATCAGCCACAATTCAGAAACGGAATCATTAGATGCCTCATCTACATAAGTTTGATTCAGGTAGAACTATACTTACTATCAAATGGATTTGCTCTTAAAACTTCTACCTGGATTGCAATTTAACTTCTACTGCTGACACCCAAAGAATAAAGACTACTGATCTGGATATGTGAAGGTGAGCGAATTATCAAGATTTAAAAAAAAACGAGATGTTTGTAAAACACTTATGCCCCCCTCCCCCCAAATTGGAACTTTTCCAAGTCCAAAAGGGCATAACTCTGTCAAAAATGGTGTGATTGTACTCAAAACAGAACTTTACCAAGATATTTATCTGATAAATCTGTATACCAAATTTCATTTCAATATGTGCAACCTCTGCAAAGAAAATGAAAGGAAACGCAAATAATTAAGTGGAGTTTTCTAAGTCCAAGGGGCATAACGCTGTCAAAAATGGCGCAATCGTACCCAAAACAGAACTTGACCTAGATATTCATCTGATAAATCTGTATGCTAAATTTCATTTCAGTATGTCAAAAGGTTGCGAAGAAAATGAATGGAAACTGCAAATAATTGAAATTTTTCTAAGTCCAAGGGGCATATCTCTGTCAAAAATGGCGCAATTGTACCCAAAACAGAAATTGACCTCGATATTCATGTGATATATCTGTATATCAAATTTCATTTCATTGTGTAAAACGGTTGCGAAGAAAATGAACGGAAACTGCAAATAGTTGAAATTTTTTTAAGTCCAAGGGGCATAACTCTGTCAAAAATGGTGCGATCGTATCCAAAACAGAATATGACCTAGATACTCATGTGATATATCTGTATACCAAATTTCATTTCAGTATGTGCAACGGTAGCGAAGAAAATGAACGGAAACTAAATAGACCGACAGACAGCAGCAAAGCAATATGCTGTCCCTTCTTCGAAGGGGGGCATAATTATAGGCTATATCAAAATTTTCAAAAATTTATACTTCTAATACATGTCAGAATAAAGGACAAGGTATGGTAATGGCCAAATTTGGCCCCTTATTTGATAAAATAGTAAAAGTTTGAAGTTAAGAACTTAAAATGAGGCTTTCTTTAAAACTAGCAATAATTTGGATTCAAAGTTTACATGGAAGCCACTAGAGGGTGCAGAAGTAGGACATTTTCTCGAATTTTCTCAATTATGATAGAATTTCATCATATTTGAGGTACTTTTCTCTTTGGAAAACATAGAGCACAAGCTTGCCTATCTGAGATTTTTACACATAAACTGCATCTGATACTATGAAGCATCTGATATATAAATTTGATAGATGGGCAAGCTTGTGCTCTTTGTTTTCCGAAACAAAATTTGCTGTAAAATCAATGGAAAATTTACACAATATTGAGAAAATTCAAAAATTTACCTATTTTCTGACCTCTCTGTGTGACCTCTGTTTATTTTAGAACTTAAATCCAAAACTCATTTTGAGGCAGGGATGACAACAGGTTTTTATGGATACACTGTTGCATTATTCTAAAAGACACCCAAAATCAGTGGCCAAAAAGAGGTCTTACCCTATCTTGTCCTTTGATCCAGTACCCAAATCACAATGAGTTTCATATATCCGTGCAGCTTTGTGGGAGCTACTAGTTTCAGACACAACATTTAAAACTGTGTATTTGGTTTTCTTTAATATGTGATTTATGTATGGCAGTATAAAAATATATTCAGATATAATTATTTAAAACATTTCACAGAGATAAAAAAATACCTCTTTTACAAATATGGAACAAACATACAGAATATTTTACAGCACAAAAGGTTAAATGAATGACATCTCTGTGTGAATTACTTAGTTACAAAGAAACAAAACTGTCAATCTCTCACACTCACAATGAATTCAGTCACAGGCATTTACAAACTCCAAATACTTATAACAAGAATGATCACACACTGGAAACAGAGACAACAAACAATGTGACAACTGGAAACAGAGACAACAAACAATGTGACAACAAACAACAACACACACTCACTAAAACAGAGATTCTTAGCTTACATTCATGAGAAAATTACCATAGACAAGAAATAATTCACAAAAACTAGAGAAGAGTAACTATTTGAGACACCTCATCTTAACCTTACTACCTTTCATATTTTTTCAAGTCTTTAATATCATCACAATATACATCTAGGCATTCTGTCTAAATCATTAGCACTCTCTAATACAGGGAGGAAGAAATGCTGGACGGGAAGTGTAAAATCAAGTCTATAATGGTGAAAGTCGTTACACACTATTGCAGAATTGGAATCACGTGTCTCCAGTCATGATGGCTATAAATTCATCTTCATTTACTGAAAAAAAAAAGGTTTTTTTAAACATAAAATACAAAATAAGATAATATTCTTGCACGAAAGCTTTAAATTACATTGCTTTTCTATTAAATTTCTTACTTTCACCATCTCCATCCCTGTCAAACTCATCAATCATGGCCCGTAACTCTTCATCTGTCATGTTTTCACCTAACTCCCTGTAAAGGCAACATAAACTGTGTAGACTGCATGTCTTATACCCCCAAAATAACAGCAAGCAAGCACATCTACCCTAAATATCCGTAGGAAACATATAACTAGTACATATGTGAAGAAACTATTTATAATCATGATAACATCAATACTTGTTCCTACCTTTGAACAGCCTAAATCTAAGTTCTGAAAGATGCTTACATAGTTCCTTCCCTTTGAACAGATCTAAGTTATAACACAGTTCCCTCCCTTTGAACAGATCTAAATAAAAACACATTTCCTTTCCTTTGAATAGATGTAAACTATAATACAGACTCCCAGTAAACTCTTACCTGGCTACTCGGCGTAAATTCCTCAGACTAATTTTTCCTGATGTGTCATCATCAAACAGCTTAAAGGCTTTCAGGATTTCCTCTTGTGGGTCTCTCTCCAGCATCATGTCAGTCACTGTAACAAAACAGGTAATACAGTGAATGAACAGATAACACAGTAAAGGAACAAATAACACAGTGAAGAAACAGGGAACACAGTGAAGATACGGGTAACACAGTGAAGAAACAGGTATCACAGTGAAGAAACAGGTAACACAGTGAAGAAACAGGTAACACAGTGAAGAAACAGGTAACACTGTGAAGAAACAGGTAACACAGTGAAGAAACAGGGTTACACAGTGAAAATACAGGTAACACAGTGAAGAAACAGGTTATATTGTGAAGAAACAGGTAACACAGTGAAGATACAGGTTACACAGTGAAGAAACAGGTAACACAGTGAAGACACAGGTAACACAGTGAAGAAACAGGTTACACAGTGAAGATACAGGAAACATTGTGAAGAAACAGGGAACACAGTGAAGATACAGGAAACACAGTGAAGAAACAGGGAACACAGTGAAGAAACAGGTAACATTGTGAAGAAACAGGTAACACAGTGAAGAAACAGGTAACACAGTGAAGAAACAGGTAACACAGTGAAGAAACAGGTATCACAGTGAAGAAACAGGTAACACAGTGAAGAAACAGGGACACAGTGAAGACACAGGTAACACAGTGAAGAAACAGGTTACACTGTGAAGAAACAGGGAACACAGTGAAGATACAGGTATCGCAATGAAGAAACAGGGAACACAGTGAAGAAACAGGTAACACAGTGAAGAAACAGGGAACACAGTAATTGAACAGATAACACAGTAAAGGAACGGGTAACACAGTGAAGAAACAGGGAACACAGTGAAGATACAGGTAACACAGTGAAGAAACAGGTAACACAGTGAAGAAACAGGTAACACAGTGAAGAAACAGGTATCACAGTGAAGAAACAGGGAACACAGTGAAGATACGGGTATCACAGTGAAGAAACAGGGAACACAGTGAAGAAACAGGTAACACAGTGAAGAAACAGGGAATACAGTGAAGATACAGGTATCACAGTGAAGAAACAGGTTACACAGTGAAGATACAGGTATCACAGTGAAGAAACAGGTAACACAGTGAAGAAACAGGGAACACAGTGAAGATACGGGTAACACAGTGAAGAAACAGGTAACACAGTGAAGAAACAGGTATCACAGTGAAGAAACAGGAAACACAGTGAAGAAACAGGGAACACAGTGAAGATACAGGTAACACAGTGAAGAAACAGGGAACACAGTGAAGATATGGGTTACACAGTGAAGAAACAGGTTACACAGTGAAGAAACAGGGAACACAGTGAAGATACAGGTATCGCAATGAAGAAACAGGGAACACAGTGAAGATACAGGTAACACAGTGAAGAAACAGGGAACACAGTGAAGATATGGGTTACACAGTGAAGAAACAGGTTACACAGTGAAGAAACAGGGAACACAGTGAAGATACAGGTAACACAGTGAAGAAACAGGTAACACAGTGAAGAAACAGGGAACACAGTGAAGATATGGGTTACACAGTGAAGAAACAGGTAACACAGTGAAGACACAGGTAACATATTGAAGAAACACAGTAAAGACATAGGGAAAACTGAAGAAACTGAAGAAACAGGGAACACAGTGAAGAAACAGGGAACACAGTGAAGACACAGGGAACATAGTGAAGATACATGTAACACAGTGGAGATACGGGTTACACTGAAGAAACAGGGAACACAGTGAAGATACAGGTAACACAGTGAAGAAACAGGTAACAAAGTGAAGATACGGGTTACACAGTGAAAATACAGGTAACACAGTGAAGATACAGGTTACATTGTGAAGAAACAGGTAACACAGTGATGATACAGGTAACACAGTGAAGAAACAGGTAACACAGTGAAGAAACAGGTAACACAATGAAGAAACAGGTAACACAGTGAAGATACAGGTATCACAGTGAAAATACAGGTAACACAGTGATGATACAGGTAACACAGTGAAGATACAGGTAACACTGTGAAGAAACAGGTTACACTGAAGAAACAGGGAACACAGTGAAGATACAGGTAACACAGTGAAGATACATGTAACACAGTGGAGATACGGGTTACACAGTGAAAATACAGGTAACACAGTGAAGATACAGGTTACACAGTGAAGAAACAGGTAACACAGTGAAGACACAGGTAACACAGTGAAGAAACAGGTTACACAGTGAAGAAACAGGGAACACAGTGAAGATACAGGTATCGCAGTGAAGAAACAGGTAACACAGTGAAGATACAGGTTACACAGTGAAGAAACAGGTTACACAGTGAAGAAACAGGGAACACAGTGAAGATACAGGTATCGCAGTGAAAATACAGGTAACACTGTGAAGAAACAGGTTACACTGAAGAAACAGGGAACACAGTGAAGAAACAGGTTACACAGTGAAGAAACAGGTAACACAATGAAAAAACAGGTAACACAGTGAAGATACAGGTATCACAGTGAAAATACACAGTTAAGAAACAGGTAACACAGTGAAGATACAGGTAACACTGTGAAGAAACAGGTAACACAGTGAAGAAACAGGTACACAGTGAAGAAACAGGGAACACAGTGAAGAACAGGTAACACAGTGAAGGATACATGTAACACAGTGGAGATACGGGTTACACAGTGAAGATACAGGTTACACAGTGAAGAAACAGGGAACACAGTGAAGATACAGGTATCACAGTGAAGAAACAGGGAACACAGTGAAGAAACAGGTAACACAGTGAAGAAACAGGGAATACAGTGAAGACACAGGTATCACAGTGAAGAAACAGGGAATACAGTGAAGAAACAGGTAACACAGTGAAGAAACAGGTTACACAGTGAAGAAACAGGTAACACAGTGAAGAAACAGGGAACACAGTGAAGAAACAGGTAACACAGTGAAGAAACAGGTAACACAGCAAAGAAACAGGGAACATTGTGAAGATACAGGTAACACAGTGAAGAAACAGGTATCACAGTGAAGAAACAGGGAACACAGTGAAGAAACAGGTAACACAGTGAAGACACAGGTAACATAGTGAAGAAACACAGTAAAGACCTGGGAACTCAGTGAAGAAACAGGGAAAACAGTGAAGAAACAGGTAACACAGTGAAGAAACAGGGAACACAGTGAAGATACAGGTAACACAGTGAAGAAACAGGTATCACAGTGAAGAAACAGGTAACACAGTGAATGAACAGATAACACAGTAAAGGAACGGGTAACACAGTGAAGAAACAGGGAACACAGTGAAGAAACAGGGGACAAAGTGAAGAAACAGGTAACAAAGTGAAGAAACAGGTAACACAGTGAAGACACAGGTAAAACAGTGAAGAAACAGGGAACACGGTGAAGAAACAGGTAACACAGTGAAGACACAGGTAACATAGTGAAAAAACACAGTAAAGACCTGGGAACTCAGTGAAGAAACAGGGAAAACAGTGAAGAAACAAGTACAGGTATCACAGAGAAGAATCAATGAACACAGTTACAAGACATACTTGACAAATAAGTTCTATAAGGCCAGGTAAAATTAATCTTTAACAGGGATACTGAATTTGAAAAAAACAGGGGCGGGAATACAGTGAAGACGGATTTTATTTTTTATTTTCAATAATTGTTAAATTGTAACACAGTATCAACAAAACATGGAATCTTCGCACACATTTTTTTCATTATGTTAATGCCAATATGAATATATTTTATTTTTTTTATATTCTTTTAAATATTTAAAAAAAAAATTCTTGCTTAAATTATTAGATATTTATTGTTAATAAACAAATGATCAAGTACACATATACGGTACATGCAAAACAAAATGAGGTGGGGTTCTGATACCAATAAATTGTGTATGCATGACTTCTCATCGGCCTTTCCCTAAATACCCTTGAGTTTTTACCTTCAAATCCCTCTGTTTTCTGTAAAATATCACAGTGAAGAAACACCTTCCTCAAAAATTGGATCGTTCACAGTGAAGAAACTTGTAACATGTTTGACAATAACATAGGTCACATTTACAAAATCACAGTGAAATATTCACATAGAATATCCTAACACAGAAGAAAACCTAGGCCTGAACAGTTTTACGATTTAACATTTTCTTAGCACTAAACATTCTCTAAAGTCTGCCTAGATGTTTTATTTTTTTTTCAAATCAAAATCACACACAGTTGGAGATCGTTAAAACTTGATCAGGTGTCATTTTCCATGTCTATTTTTATACTTAGTTTTAAAAAATCTTTAAAAACTTGCTCATGCCAGTGATGGTATCTAGATGTGTTTATGCTATTATTTTTTTCTCTGCCCTCTCTATACTGACAAATAATCTTTTCCTGACATATTTAAACTGCTTTTATTGCCGATTTTTCTCCATTCTTCACATGGCTCTTTTGCTATAAATAGCGACACGCAACTTTTAATACAGACGGGAGATAACTCTTAAACTTCACCCAAATTCTTACTGAATAAAAATACATGAAAATGCCTTTATTAACACTCAAAAATCAAGATACAAAAAACATGTAACACAGTGAAGAAACAGGGAACACAGTGAAGAGGGGTGCGGGTGAAGATACGGTAACATTGTGATGTGAAGAAACAGGTAACACAGTGAAGAAACAGGTAACAGATTAATTTTATCTGGCCTAACGTGTTGACAACAAAGATATGAGACATGCTGACAAATTAGATCTAAGTTCTGAGACATGCTGATAACTAAGTTCTGAGACATGCTGACAACTAAGTTCTGAGACATGCTGATAACTAAGTTCTGAGGCATGCTGACAACTAAGTTCTGAGACATGCTGACAACTAAGTTCTGAGACATGCTGACAACTAAGTACTGAGACATGCTGACAACTAAGTTCTGAGACATGCTGATAACTAAGTTCTGAGACATGCTGACAACTAAGACATGCTGATAACTAAGTTCTGAGACATGCTGACAACTAAGTTCTGAGACATGCTGACAACTAAGTACTGAGACATGCTGACAACTAAGTTCTGAGACATGCTGACAACTAAGTACTGAGACATGCTGACAAATTAGATCTAAGTTCTGAGACATGCTGATAACTAAGTTCTGAGACATGCTAACAACTACTGTAAGTTCTGAGACATGCTGATAACTAAGTTCTGAGACATCTGACAACTAAGTTCTGAGATATGCTGACAACTAAGTTCTGAGACATGCTGATAACTACGTTCTGAGACATGCTGACAACTAAGTTCTGAGACATGCTTATAAGTAAGTTCTGAGACATGCTGATAACTACGTTCTGAGACATGCTGATAACTAAGTTCTGAGACATGCTGATAACTAAGTTCAGAAACATGCTGACAAATAATTTAGCTGAACATTTAATTTTCTGAATAATGCTGAAAGGGCTACTTTAACATGCTGAGTTAAGTTGTCATTGAGACATGCTGATAACCATTCTACCCTTAAATCCAGTCCTTCTCATACAAGTGGCCCGAACACCATAACTGTGACCACTAGAAAGGTTTTCTTTTCCATTATCAATTCTGTACCTCCTTAGATGTGAATATTTAAATGTCCAAGTAAACAGTCAACTGTAAAAGTCAGTGCTTCTCGTAAAAGTCCATCAGTAGACATCAGGGTTCAAATAAAAATGTTTTTACACTGTAATTAGTGATAAACAGAAGATACCATTTTAGCAGGCACAAATTTAGAGATTTCTAGTAGGAAATTGGTATATAATTTTAGCCAGAAGTAATTTCAGCAATTTGTAATGCATTAAAAGATAATAGTCACCTTAAATGTAGGAATAAATTGTTAGCCATCTCATCATCCTTGCTAAAATTGCCAAAATTAAATCCTTACTAAATTTTTTTTTGTATGGTAATAAATAAATAGCCTCTGTAGGCAGCAGTGAGTAAACTCTAATGAATGATGATGCTTACTCATCACGACTGAAACTGAGGTTCGGACAAGTAAATGTCTTGGTCACTTGTTTAAATGGACAAGTAGGAAAAAAGGTTAATGTAGAGCCCTGCTCATGATGGTACCATCTTCAAAATATCAATATAAAATAAACCACTTACTGACTTCATTGAAGTCTTCAAATGAAATTTTTCCTGTTCCTTCTCTGTCATAGTCTCTGAGAATTTTTAAAACATCTGCTTTCTTAACATCGAAGCCTAGAGCCCTCATGGCTACCTGTGTGATAAGATAAAAAACAATCAGCTTTACCTGTAGTAATGTTAGTATGATTTATTTATTAAACATAAAAGCAATTAATTGTAGCATACAAATCACAGAATTTTACCTAGACTGAATAAACATAATAATTTAAATAATTATAACATTACTTTTTTACTTTTGAAATTTAGATCACCATACCAGTATAACTGTAATGTATTAGACTATTATCATCAAATTACAAAGTTTTCATGCACCCCACCTCCATCCTAACGGTAGCATTGAGATGGACACCAACTAGTAAGGGAAAAAGAGACTTGGAAAAGATTGGTGGACAAAAAAATTAAAAGAAAAGAACTGGTTAGAGACAGGTCCAGAGATGGACACAAGACAGACACCAGCATGGGAGTCTCTGATGACAGCCTTATGTACTGACCAGTAAAGAGGACTAATTAAGTAAGTGCAAAGTTTTCATCACTACAGACCTTGAGCTCGTGATAATCTATAGCTCGGTCTTTGTCCGTATCAAACAAATCAAACGCCTCTTTTATCTCCTGCTTCTGTTCATCAGCTAATTCTCTCTTCTTCTTTTTCTTGCTTTTATCCAAAGCAAACTCGGCTCTACAAAAGAGACATGTTTACGGTCATTACTGGTATTCATTCATTGGGTAAAAAACATTCATATTGAAAATGCCAGAGGTGCATGTTTTTAGGAAGATATTGAGAAACTGCACATGGAAAATCGACCATCAATGTTTGTTGTGCAAGAAAATTCACCAATGCCTGAGTAAATGAGCTTTTGCTTTATGGAATATAATTTTAAAAAAGTCCACCATTTGGTCAGTAAAATTTGTATCCGATATGGGAGATTGTCCACCAAAGGGGGGGGGGGGGGGGATAAATGACCATTTCAAGGGGTGTGCTCAATCTGTTTAATTGAAATCAGACTAGATCTAAAACTGTAGAAGTAGCATTTTGAAAGTATTTCACAGAAATTTCTATTTTTAGGAACCATGGCAACACCATTCTTCGAAATCAAAAGAATTGTGTATCTTAATGTTATTGTAGTTTGCTTGTTAGTCCGAAAAATCTGACGTTTTTCTGGCTTTTTTACGATTTTGATATTTTACATGCCAGGAAAACGTCAGAACAGGCGCCATTACGAAAACTGGGAAATCGCCGCCTCCAACCGGAGGCGGCATTCAGAGGTTGGTTTTCAATACTTGAAACTGGCAGATATATTGGACTTGAAAGAGATAAAAGAATATGTGAAAAATGTAATTTGAATGTAGTGGAAAATGAAATACATTTTACCATAGACTGTCCTTTTTACAAAGAAAGAAGAATCAAACTTCTAAATGAAGCACAGAAATATAATAAAAATTTTTATAGCTTAGATAGTTCTCAAAAATATTTTTGGATCATTACATGTGAAAATATGAATGTCTGTTTAATCATTTAATATAACATTTTAAAGCACAACAACAATATGATATGTATGTATTTTTATTTTTAACACAAATTACTGAATTTTTTTGTTTATCTACTTATTGATTGCCTTTGTCTACACATGTACCTTTCATGCCTCTCTGGGGGCCCTTAATTGGAAATAAAATATTGTCTATTGTCTATTGTAAACCGAATTAAATGCTGAATTCACATTTTATCAATAGTACAACACCTTTAGTACTCACCAACATCGTTTTTATGTTTCGTTTATGAAATAATATAATCCGAAGAACACATTTTATCTGACTGTCAAGAATTGTTTTCATTTCCTGCATTTTAAAATCATGCAAGTTCTGAATCGGAATGTGGAGTGGTAATTTCTTTTTCATCGATATTGGTGAGTTCTAGGAGCATTGTGTCATTGATAAAAATCTAATAGAAAATCAACTGTATCTCCCAGTTTTCGTAATGGCACCGGTTCTGACGTTTTCCTGGCATGTAAAATATCAAAATCGTAAAAAAGCCAGAAAAACGTCAGATTTTTCGGACTATTTGCATGTGTGCAAAGTTATATTGAATTCAGATCAAAACTGTAGGAGAAGTAGCATTTTAAAAAATAATTGTTTACAGACAGACAAACAGACGACGAGCACTTTCCTATCTCATAGGCTTTTCTGGTCTTTGACAAGTAGAGCTAAAAATCTATTTAAAAGCTCTGCAATGTTCATGTTATTTGTTACACTTTGTACATAGTGTCAACTAAAAGTAAAATGTATTTGTTCAAATTGTTGCAACTCCATGTGCCATGCACAATAAGCTCTCGCCAGAGAAACGAAGTTTGTTGACAGGACAACCTTCACACAAAAGGAAATCGAACGAAATCAAGAGTATTGACTCACTTACCGAAGAGCTAGACTCATTTCTAAAATCTGCAAATGGAAACTTTTCTCACAAGAAAGACTATCTTCGAGTAGAAACTTGTTTCTTTTGAAAAGCCGCTTTCGGTATATAGTATTAGTTTCGTAAACACAAGGAAAGTTGATTTTTATTCATTTTTAAGGGTCACCCAATAAAGTTTCCTACAAAAATATTAGTTTAAAAGCACCAAACTAAGGTGGGAAAAAATAAAGTAATAGTTACAAGCAAATTCGAAACTAAATTTTAGCTCTCAATAATAACAACAATGTCGACCTCCAGTGCGGGTAATTTGTTTTTGTTTATCAAAATGAAATGCTTATATTTCATAATTTCAGGAAGTTTGATATGGAAAATTCGGGCTGTTTTTTCAATTATACAGAAAATTCACTTGTTTCACCCGTTTCAAAGTTTTATTTTCTTTCAGAAGCTTAATATATCGATAATATTGATCAAAAGGTTGGTTTCTTTTTTTATGTAGACGGAGATGACGATCTTTTAAGTTTTGAGAAGTTAGACCGATCTTCACCAGATCTCTGGCCAGAGAAAAGTAATGAGAGAGAGAGAGAGAGAGAGATTGTTGATTTAGGCTTTTTGGAAGCATTTCTATCATTGAAGATTTGTTGAATAAAGCTGAGCACAATTTGTAATCTTTGTCCTTTTGAGCTTTTCAGTGTCATTCGTCAGCCTCAGCTAAGTTCAGAGTTTAATGTATAACTATTCTATTTCACCGAGTGTACCTTATCAAGCCTTTCTTTCATTTTCATTATGAATGACTTAATTAGTTGCGAAAAAATGCACCTATGCCTCTGCCATGTCAGGAAAAATAATTATCAAAGATATTCAATATGATCAATTAAGTACATATTACAAAAGGAAAAAAAAGACAAATGCATATTCAATGAAATAAACCTTAAAAAAGACAATGTAAGATAGCAGTGACCAGGCAAAAGCAGTCTTATATAATGATAAAAAAGGTTTATATACCCCTGTTGGCTGTGCTGATAAAGGAGTTAGTGAAACTAATATGTCTGTGTCTGTTTACAAATTGTGTTCAGTTTTAAGGATTTTAAAGTGAAGTACATGTAGCTCTAAATATGTATAAAAACATAAAATAAATATTTCATATCTTCAGATAGTTTTTACTTTGTTGATATTATATGTTTCATATTTAACTTTTGTAGTCCCAGGTGTATCAGAATTTGCTTCTCTGAAGAGTGTGAGTATCCAATAGGCATTGTTTCACATTAATGGTAAATGTATATGCATACAATCTTTATATTGAGTTGTCAACTGACCTTTTTAGCCACTCTCTAGACCGGGGACATCCCCCAAATGGATGGCAGAGCTGGAGAATGAAGATATTGGACTTCTTCAAGGTATCCTGGAGCAGTGTACTTACATAGTTTTTAGCTCACCTGAGCCGAAGGCTCAAGTGAACTTTTCTGATCAAAATTTGTCCATTGTCTGTCGTCGTTGTAAACTTTTCACATTTTCATCTTCTTCTCAAGAACCACTGGGCCAATTTCAACCAAACTTGCCACAAAGCATTCTTGGGTGAATGGGATTCATGTTTGTTCAAATGAAGGGCCAAGCCCTCTTTCAAAAGGAGATAATTATGAATTAATGAAAAATTAGTGGCATCTTTTAAAAATCTTCTTCTCCAGAACCATTGGGCCAGGAAAGATGAAACTCATGTGGAAGCATCCTAAGGTAGTGTAGATTCAAGTTTGTTCAAATCATGACCCCTGGGGAAGGGCGGGACCACAATGGCCGATCAAAGTTTTACATGGGAATATAAAGGGAAAATCTTTTAAAAATCCTCTTCTCCAGGACCATTGGGCCAGGAAAGATGAAACTCGTGGAAGAATCCTCAGGTAGTGTAGATTCAAGTTTGTTCAAATCATGACCCCTGGGGGTAGGGCGGGGCTACAATGGCCGATCAAAGTTTTACTTAGGAATATATAGGAAAAATACTTAAAAATCTTTTTCTCCAGAACCATTGGGCCAGGAAAGATGAAACTCATGCTGAATCATCCTCAGGTAGTGTAGATTCAAGTTTGTTCAAATCATGAACCCCGGGGGTAGGGTGGGACCACAATGGGCGATCAAAGTTTTACATAGGAATATATAGGTAGCAACCCAAGCTGATTTTTTATGTTGGGAAATTGTACACAAATTCTATGTCATTGAAAAGAGGTTATTAATAGGGAAATCTTTAAAAATTTTCTTCTCAAGTACTGCAAAGCCATGATTAGTGATATTCATCCTCAGGTAGTGTAGATACTAGTTTGTTCAAATCATAACCTCCAGGGATAGGGTGGGGCCACACTGGGGGTAGGGAGTGAAACAATGGGGAGTCAAATTCAAATTATTACAACATGTACAAAGTAATATATACAAACAAAATGATAAAATAAAATCTTTAAAAATCTTTTTCTCAAGAACTTTCTCAAGAAGTTATATGCAGTATTGATATGAAGGATTCTCAAGTAGTATTAGAATTCAAGCCCCCTCCCCACACCCCCTCAGTAAACTTTTCAATTCGGATCTGATTAATGCTTTTTCCTAGCTCAGGTGAGCGATGTGGCCCCTGGGCCTCTTGTTACAATCTTTTCTTGAAATGCATGATAAATTTCACACAAATAACTTTATTTCTTACAGAGTTTGGAAGTCTAACAACATCCCAGTTAATGGAGAAAATTAAGGGTTTACAGAATCTGGCTTATCAGCTAGGACTTGATGAAGGTAATTTAAGTTAATGAAAAGTTTCTTCTGACAATATTTTGATTAATTACAAGAAATTTGAATTGCACATGCATGGGTTAAAGAAAATTTGAATCAATATTGACCAAACGTTATATTAAAGTAGAAGGAAGTAATCTTATGAAGTGTTTAAAGAAAAAGCAATATACATTAATTGCCTGGGTTCAAGGTCAACATGGGTTTTTGTAAGACCCTAGTGTCCCATGAATCAAACTATTTGCCTGAGGCTTTTAGGCCAAAGTTCAGTTCAAGGGTTCAGGAAAACAGATTTAGCTCAAGAACTTTAGTCAATAAATGTTTTGCTGACCTTTTACTATATATTTTGACATTTCTAAGACTTGCACTGCAGAATTAACTCTGTCAGTTTTTGTTTTATGCTGATCATGAATATCAACAAATGCAAATAAGATTCTACAATGTGACATAAAAGATTCAAATATCTTATTGATATGTCTAGTGTTTTATTTGATGGGCTGAGTATCTCATTAATAGGTCCAGTTTCTCATTGAAAGGTCCAGTATCTGATTGTTTGGGCCATTATCTCATTGATAGGTCCAGTATCTCATTGTTAGGTCCATTATTCATTGAAAGGTCAGGTATCTCATTGATAGGTCCAATATCTCATTGATATTCAGTATCTCATTGATAGGTCAAGTTTCTCATAGGATAGGTCCACTATGTCATTGATAGGTCCAGTTTCTCATTGATAGATTCAGTATTTTACTGATAGGTCCAATATCTCATTGTTAGGTCCAGTTTCTCATTTATAGGTCCAGTATCTCAGGGATATTTCAAATATCTCATTGATAAGTAGAGTATCTCATGGATATTTCAAATATCTCATTGAAAGGAAGAGTATATCATTGATTGATCTAGTGTCTCATTGATAGGTCCAGTATCTCATTGGTAGCTCCAGTTTCTCATAGATATTCAGAGTATCTCATTGATAGGTCCAATACCTTGGAAAGGTCCAGTATTCCAGTTTCTCATCGATAGATCCAGTATCTCATTGCTAGGTATCGATAAGTTCAGTATCTCATTGATATATTCAGTTTCTCATTGATAGGTAGAGTATCTCAATGATAAATTCAGTATCTCATTGATAGGCTCAGTATCTCATTGATAGGTCGAATTTCTCATAAGATACGTCCAATATCTCATTGATAGGTCTGTTTTTTTATTGATAGGTCCAGTTTCTCATCGATAGGTCCATTATTGCATTTGATAGGTCTAGTATCTCATTAGGAGGTCCCATATCTCACTGATGGGTTCAATATCTCATTAATAAGTCCATTATCTCATTAATAGGTCCAGTATCTCATTTAGCAGTCTAACATCAATATTTTTGGTCTGCTAAATAAAACATTGAAAAACGTCAGACTTTCTTTAGTAGCACAATTCTTTGTTAAGCTTGGACTTTCAGTAGGAAGTGACTTTCTCGACACTACGTAAGTAACGTCTCTCAATTGGTGAATAGATTGGTCATTGGTTAAGAAATTAATAACATCAGCAATTTTTAATTGTTTTTGACAATGATGAGACGATTTAAGCCCCACCTCTCTGCCGTATGAAACACTATCATTGGATCATTGATACACTCATTGACATTCACCGGAATTTATATTTCAACAGTGAAGAAAGGCTGTGAAAATTTCAGATGCTAATTTGGTAATGTCTAGAATACCACGCCTTACTGAAAGTCCAAGGTTAACAGAGAATTGTACTAAATATGTATTTACGAAACATTTTCAAAGGTTTTACTAGTATATACCCCAGTAAATGTCAAATTAATTTCAAGTGTTACTGTACCTGAAACAGTATTACATAAGTGTTTTATGTCAATTCATATACATAAAGTTTTTTAATATCTTAAATGAGTACTTTTTTATTTTCAGCTAGAGAGATGACTAGAGGAAAATTCTTGAATATTTTGCAAAAGAAGTTTTAAAGTTATTTGCAGTAGAGATTCTTCTTGGGGAAAAAGACAAATTTTATTAAGTAATCAGATATTATTTATCAGAAACCATAAACTTTTTATGTGCAATATCTTGATAGAATAAAATTTTTAATTTGAAGTGCCTTTAATTCTCATTTGTAGTTTTGAGAGACTCACTATAACCCACTTAGCACTTGATTCAGCATGCTCAATACGGCATTTATGTAAAGTGATGAAATACTTGTATTTGTTAATCCCTTTTATGGTACAAAGTAAGGCCTTTTAAAGTCTTTAGATCACCACGATCAGGTGACCTATTTTCTCTTTTTGTCTGTTATTGTGTGTAAACATATGAACATTTTCAGCTTCTTCTCAAGAACAGCCGAACCATTTTAATGAAATTTTAGCATAAGATCTTTGGAGTAAATGGAACAAAACTTATGAATTTCATTCATGATCCCCCCCTTTGGCCTGAGGGATGGGGCTTAACTATCAAAATTAATGCAATTTTTAAAAATTTGCTCCTAGACATCAAGCAGTCAAACTGTTGGTACGATTGCAATAAGCATTGAGCCCTCTACCAAATTTGTTTCATTCATGGCCCCAGGGTCAGGGATTCTTGTGTTAGGGCTTACCTCTACTGATTATTTAGTGAAAAACTGAAAATGCATGCATTTATGATTATTAGTCTTTTAAAAATATTCTCCCTTATATTTTGAATATACACGTGTACACATGTACAAACAAATTGCATGATTAATACAAAGAACAGCTTCCTACAGAAAGAATGCATTTTCAAAATTTGGCTTAAATCTATAGAGCCCACCTCATTCCAAAACTCCTGATCCTAAGGCCACAAATCTGAGAGAAAACCCTTGCTTTTTCGCCAAAATTCTAAATAGAAACAGCGCTAAATGTCATATATTTACAGTATTGTTGTGCAATACATATTATATTAAATTAATTACTGCCATTCACTGAAAAGATATAAATTTCTGATAACCATGAAAAGTTATGTCATTTCATTTATTTACAAGCTATTGTATAATTTGAGACATGATTAAATGTAAACATAATAATTCTTTACATTCTGGTGAAAGTGAATTCTTCAGTTATGTACCTGGTATACTGTAAATGTACTATATTTGGCGCGTAAGATATTTGGCGGAAATTGGATTTTGAACAAGTTCGCGTCGATTTGATTTAGTGCATATCTTAATAATCTTCTTCGATATATGTGAGAGTCATTTAGCGTTGTACTTGAATTAGCGGATATTGCTTTCCGCCAAAAATGCTAAAAAGAATACACAGCCAAATGTAATATGTTTACAGTATATTTAGGGGATATAGATAAAAGATGATCATTATAGCTCCTGAGTTAATAAATAGTGAAATTACATTTGTTCCTGAGTTAACATGGTAATGAACTGCACTTATCAATCCAGTGAAAATTTTGGTCTTTTGTTTAATTTTTTTGTTTTGGTCAAGTTAAAACTGTCCTGATGATTTGTGAGTCCTATCACGTCTTCATGTCCTCGCTGTAAAGGACCTGGTGAGTCACAGTCAACAGTTTCCACGTCCTCCTCAACACTGGCACTTCTGCTCTTCAAACCATTTGATAATTTTGTATCGGAGAAATAAAAGGGATCCTTTGAATCAGTTCTTGTAACCTCTTTCTTTTGTAATAATGGTTCGCCAACAAAGAATTTCTCTCGTTGAGCACCTGTTTTACTTTCACTTTTTTTTTTCTTTTTCATGTGGAGAGCATTTGAGAACATCAGTCTTTTTCTGGGATCTGCTTTACTGCCAATGCTATGTAACTTTTTGTTCGGTGATTCAGCACGTTTATGTACATTCTTCTCATCTCTAACTATGTTAACATTGGTTTCGAAAGAAGTGGACCAACTCCTTTTACTTTTTGTAAGATTCTCGGGGTGGTTTGACTTAATTGTATCTTTAACTTGGTAGAAATCGTTCCAGTCTCTGTTCCCTTTATGCATTTTGATTCTGTCGTAGGCTGGGGAACTTATTCCTGGTTTTGTGTTTCTGTCAGTCAGATCACCTCGGTCTCCTTTCTGTTTATTAGTTTTGAATCTGTTGTAGGCTGGAGAACTTATTCCTGGTTTGGTGTTTCTGTCAGTCAGATCACCCCAGTCTCTGTTCCATTTATTGGCCTTGATTTTGCCGTAGACTGGAGAACTTATTCCTGGTTTAGTGTTTCCGTCAGTTGGGTGTTCTGGGTTACTACACATCTTCGTGTCCCTCTCCTCCTCTTCAGAACTGCTCGCCTCATTCTGTGGACTGGGAGTGATGTCCCTTCGTTTCCTGTCTCCTCTTGAGTGGTCTTTTGATTGAACTTTTCCAAACCTCTCTTTTTCCATTACATTCATTCCCTTTCCTTCCCAAGCCTGCTGTAAATTTCTCCTGTTAATTGTCTCTGATGGCAGATGTTGCACACCTGGGCGATCTGTTGTGGAATTTAAGGAAGTGGATGATATTTTGCTGGACTGTATTCTACAGAGTCCAGAATGGCTAGGGGGAGCTCCCATCTGGAACCTTCTGCTGCTGTTACTTAACACATCAGATTTTCTGGAGCCAACCTCCATATTTTGCTTCAGTGCACCACATGAGTGAGTTCTGGACTTTAATTTCTTAGAAGCAATACTGTCAAATGTTTCACATGGCCAAGAACTTTTGATACTTGCACTAGACTTTGATGAGCAGTAATCACCTTCTGCCCCTCTACAATTTTTGTGACTAGGTAGAGGACACTCCTTCTTGTCTATCTCCATCTTTCTGTCAGCATCAACTCCTTCTATCTCACTGAATGAAGAATGAGATCCTGATCTTCTTTGTGTTGATATCTGGGAATCAGAAATTCTCCTCCTCTTCAGCTCTAAGCTATCAGTGCTGCCCCGAGACCTCTGATCCAGGTCTTTCTCAACCATTGCTTGAACTTCATAAATCTCTTGCATTAGTGATTTTAATCGCCTGTCATTACTGCTGGAGCTTTCCTCTTCCCATGGAGTTACATTTTTGGACATTTGCTCAACTTCATCAAGTGACTTGCTATGACGCCGTTTTGGCTGTTCTGAACTTACGCGGAATTTATCAAAGATGGAATGTTTTTCATCAGTTTGAGATGCTCGTCCTTTAGGAGAAACCTTTGGACTAGATTTTTTTTCACTTGAAAAATGGAAAGGTGAAATTTTTACATGTCTGGGAACTTTCAAGTCCATATTTGGTTGTCTATCAACATCTGGAAGAGAATGATATCTCTTGGTTCCCCTTGGGGAGACACTTTTCTGAAGATTTGGTCTAAATGAGCCGACCATTTTAACCTTCTCAGTTTTGAAGTCTTCAGTGTCTATAGGTTTGAGGATGTGGACTTTGTGCAGTAGGTTTGGTTTCAGCTGATCAATCTCAAGGGGGTCTGACTCGGACGGAGAGCCTTTCCTTGGACAGGAGTTTAAAACTGTAACATAACAGTAATCAAAGTCACAACATAGAACGGTATCATAGTCTTCACTCTTATGAATTTAATTTCATTCTCCTAAATTACCTGGGAGATTTTGTGTAGAGGGCAGGAGGAATGCTATAGGTAGTTCTGAGGCGAGAAACGGATGCTGGGCAGCCTTCAATGGTGTCAGTCTATCAGCTGAAAAAGGAACACCGATAAATAACAATGATGGAACTATTAACCCTGATCTTAAGGTGGACTGTTACGTTTGTCGTACCTGGACTGTACCTCAGGAGACCAGAGAGGAAGTCTCGGAACAAATAGTCCTGACACCCAAGTTTCTTAAACAGCACACCAGAGGCTGAAATTAAAGACATTTACTGAATGGAACCATGTTTAAAATTAATCAATATATATTATATTTTAATTTATTGGTATTAAATGACATGCCACTGCTTTATAAGTTGACTTTCCAGATACATATGTAATCTTTAATAGATCTATGGGTGAATTGTATTATAACCATTATACATACTGTAAAACGAGAATATTTGGCGCACTACTAATTTTAGCGCCTTTGGCGCAAGAGCCCCTGAGCACTAAAATTTATTGTGCGCTAAATGATTTCTAAATATAACTTTTGTGTGTGTACAAAGCTTTTACATAAGTACATGTAAACCGGAACGCGCGATTACGTAATGTCGAAGGGTCATTGGATTTTATATACACACTAGCACTGCACATGTTCGGAAGACAGAAAGTTCTGCCAAATTATAATTTAATTAAACTATTGTTACCCCGGTAGTGTTTTACTATACAGCAATCAAAATTACCTGATTATTATCATTAGCACCTTCAAAGTTTGGCTTCTCGGCGTGTCAATCATCTATCGCCTCGAGGTAAACGATGCAATCAAGCATGGCGATTGAGCTTGCAGACAATACCTGATTAGGATTACCATTTTATCTAAGTAATTTTCTGTCGATGCATGCATTGTTTTAATGTGATTTAAATGAGTAAATACTCCATTTCTTTTAATTGAAAATAGAAATAAAATAAATTTTAACATTGTACAATGTCCACTTGTTAGCAACACGTACCGCGGTAAAGGTAACGAATGTTTACTGATATATGGGGGTACTAATGTGTTTCCGTGCTTGACTAACCAAAAAGACAAATACGGGTGTGGATAAAAAAAACCCAAAATATCACATTTATAATTATATTTTACTGACAAGTGCAAGCGCTAAAATTTATTTGCGCCAATGCATTCCCACTTGCGTTTGCGCTAAAATATGTATGCGCCAAATTTTCTCGTTTTACAGTATGTTAACTTGCAATTTTGTCTTTGTGCCTTCCAAGTTTGCAGACTGATGAAACTAAAGTACTAGGGATGTGCGATTTTATCGCTTTACCAGTATATCACAATTTTTAATTGCCTGATACGTATCAGATAGAGACTTGGAATATTGGTATTTAAGTACAGAATTATAATGTCCAGAAGTATGTAGAAATAGTTCATTTATTTGTTCAATCTTTCAAATTACACTTACAGGAAGTGTAAAAAATGTTGTAAACGGTAAAAGAAAGATATTTTAACATCCAAACAAGTTTAATATTACATATGTATGAAAAGATTTATCTACATCTGTATTAAAGCTATAAAGCAGGCTACACACGCTTTCTTGGAATACTCTAGCTTTTGTACTATTCTGTATACTGGCACTAAAAATGTGCAATTCTTTATTAAGTACATAATGCTGCATACCATCTTTTTGCTCGCAGACATTGGTGTATCCCTTGAGGTCATCATAAAATTTGCCTTTTTGAAAGACATCTCTTGGGAAAGGGCCCAACAGTCTGGTCATCTAGAATAAAAGTTCTACATGTAAATATGTAAAAACCAGCAAATTCAGAGAAATGTGGTCTCCACTTTTTTTTCTTAATGGGTCATGATTCAAGGCATATATTGTATCTGTCTTGTCTGTTCTGACTTGTCTTTCCATTATGCAAAAATGTTTCCATATTTGAAAAAAAAAATAAGCAAAAGGCTACAACCAAGTCAAAACTTGAAAATCAAACTGGTATATCAGGTCATGTAAGAGGTAAGGGATAAAAAAAATCATATTGAGTGCATCTTGTCACAAGTAATGCACATTATAATAATAATGAACTAGAGATATGTCCATAGGACATGAATGCCCTGCCGAGGATATATTAGTAAAGCAACATGAAAATTTGTATGTGTATGAAATTTGATCAGTTTGGTTCAGGTAGGGCTTATACTTACTTGGGAATAAAAATGTAAGTCAGATCCAGCATCCAAAGCAAGTCGAGTAGTGTCCATCCCTAGATACATCATCCATGCAAGATTGGTTCAGGGTATATAGTTACTTTGGAATGAAAATATAGGTAAGATCCAGCACCCAAAGCAAGTCTGGTAGTGTCCATCCCTAGATGCATCATCCATGCAAGTTTGGTTCAGGTAGGGCTTATAGTTACTTTGGAATAAAAATGTAGACCAGATCCAGCATCCGAAGCAAGTCTGGTAGTGTCCATCCCTAGATGCATCATCCATGCAAGTTTGGTTCTGGCAGGGCTTATAGTTACTAGGGAATGAAAATATAGGTCAGATCCAGCATCAGAAGCAAGTCTAGTTGTGTCCATCCCTAGATGCATCATCCATGCAAGTTGGTTCAGGTAGGGCTTTTAGTTACTTGGGAATGAAAATGTAGGTCAGATCCAGCATCCGAAGCAAGTCTGGTAGTGTGCATCCTTAGATGCATCATCCATGCAAGTTTGGTCTAAGTCGGGCTTATAGTTCCTTAGGAATGGACCTGCTCCAATAACTTTAACCTGGTCACTCATCTGGAAAATGTAGGTCAGATCCAGCATCCGAAGCAAGTCTGGTATTGTTCATCCCTAGATGCATCATCCATGCAGTTTGTATCAACATGTGAAGTTTGATAACACCATCTTGAATGGTATGTTTAAAACTGAGCTAAACACTAATTTAAGAAAAGTGAGGTCAAGGTCAAAGGAAAGGTCAAGGTCAAAAAATGATGATGCAGTTGCATGGCTCTCATCAATATCTATCAGCATATGAAGTTTGATGAAAATATCTTGGATAATTTCTTTGAAACTTAGCTTTGAACAGAGCTAAACGCAAAGTGTGACGGAAGGACAGAAGGACGGAAGAGGGACATGACAAACACTATATGCCCCGGGCATATTCATGGCGAGGCATAAAAAAAAACCTTTACAACCAAAGAGATTTTTTTTTTCAAAATAAGTAAAAAATCATGATCAAGATAATGACCTTCAAGATATCTACATGTACATTGCCTGTTTGTCAACAGAAATTAATCATTTTTTCACTATATCAAATGCTGGATTTTATCTTTATCTATATTTTTTGCATTACTTCATTACTTGGTAAAAATTAACTTGACTCAGAGTAGGCCATGTACATACCTCTTTGATGATGGGGATTTTGGAGGTCCCTGGGAATAATGGTGCTCCAGAATACAGTTCTGCCAGGATACATCCTAAAGACCAAAGGTCAATCTCTGTACCAAAGGGAATCCCAAAGAGAACCTAAAAATAAATACATCCTAAAGACCAAAGGTCAATCTCTGTACCAAAGGGAATCCCAAAGAGAACCTAAAAATAGATACATCCTAAGGACCAAAGTTCAATCTCTGTACCAAAGGGAATCCCAAAGAGAACCTAAAAATAGATACATCCTAAAGACCAAAGGTCAATCTCTGTACCAAAGGGAATCCCAAAGAGAACCTAAAAATAAATACATCCTAAAGAACAAAGTTCAATCTCAGTACCAAAGGGAATCCCAAAGAGAACCTAAAAATAAATAAAGCCTAATGACCAAAGGTCAACCTCTGTACCAAAGGGAATCCCAAAGAGAACCTAAAAATAGATACATCCTAAGGACCAAAGGTCAATCTCTGTACCAAAGGGAATCCCAAATAGAACCTAGAAATAAATACATCCTAAACACCAAAGGTCAATCTCTGTGCCAAAGGGAATCCCAAAGAGAACCTAAAAATAAATACATCCTAAAGATCAAAAGTCAATCTTTTTACCAAAGGAAATCCCAAAGAGAACCTAAAAGTCAACAAATGCTAAAGACTAGGAATCCCTAATAGAACTTATAGAGTACCATCCTACAGACCAAAAGGAATCCCACACAGAACATAAAAATAAATAGAGCCTAGAGACTGGAAATTCCATACAGAACCTAAAATTTAGATACATCCTAAACACCAAAGGTCAATCTCTGTACCAAAAGCAATTCCAAATAGAACCTATAAATATAAAAAGATGGATCCTAAAGACCAAAGGTCAATCTCTATACCAAGGGGAATCCCAAAAAGAACCTAAAAATAGAAACTGAATACAGGGTTATTTTCACAATGTTATTTTTGCCATTTCACATTTGCAGACAGTTTTGCCCCGTTTTAAATTTGCCCAGTCATAGTTTATTTCAGAAAGGGGTGAAATTAAAGAGGGGCGAAATATGTATATGGTTACCTGACCAACAACCCTAATTTTTTGTGCAAACTCAAAATTTTTTCTTTTTTTACATTCTGAAATTTCATATCTATATGTATCATTTAAATTCATCATTTAATAGTAAAGGGTTAACTAATTTGTATAGGGAGAATGTAAACCATTTACTGATCATCTGAATTTCATTTGATTTGTTCTTTGTCGTTTATCATTAGACGCCCAATTTGAAGATGAACTTATGAACTCCTCAGAGTGATCAGGCGGTGATTAAACAACTATCATGCACTATGTAAAATGATTTGCATGCTTGGAGAAAAATAATTGCAAAAATTGATCCTGGAATTAGATCAGGAGATTTCAACACACCAAAGAGAACATCAATTTCACCAGTTCCTTTTCTGTAATTCTGAACAACTGGGATTAAATTTCACAGGATCAATATAATAAAATCATTTAAAAATTCTGCTTAATGACAGAAAAATCTGTTATACTGCACCAATTATGTGTTTAATCAATCATATCTTAATTTTGTAGTCAAATTTAACGTAACAATCCATTGTGTGTAAATAAAAGAGAACACAGCGGTAGACAAATTAATGGAGAAAATGGGGGACCACTTCCTGTTGCCGAGTTAGAGAGTGACGGATGATCTAATGGTGTCATCGCCATAGCGATTAAGGGAGGAAACTACTGTCGAGCAGGGGCATTGTTTTCAGGCCGGTGATACTAATTACCTGAAATTTAATGGCTATTTCTGAGTTCAGAGTCAGTCATAAGGCTAGAATTTCTCCCATCAAGGAATTGTTTTGAGGAATAATTGGCCACAAAATGTAAAATATTTCATACAATTAATACAGTGCTTGGTTCACCTAGAACAATGCCTGAACTTCAATGAGTATAAAATTTCTAAACAGTCTAAATATTCAACATCCTGCAAATGTCAAGAAAAGTAATGAATACAGTAAAACATTAAATTTTTACCATTGATATTATAAAAATATTTCAGATCTTTAAATTTTCACTACAGATGATGAGTAATTCATTCTTAAGTCCTTGTATCTGAAGTAAGGATGAGATCATGGATCATTTAATGAAACATTGTCAATACCAAAAGCTGGTAATTCAATTGTGTATCTGAAGCTGTCAAATTATCTGAAGCACATGTCATCTCATTCCAAACACTTTATCAAACAATCGAAAAATTTTCTATTAGCTGAGCCCATTTCCCAAGAATTGGCCATATTGCATGTCAACTTTGATTTTAAAGACAGAAGCCCTTGTTTTTCTTCCGAGAGTTACATCAGGAGATTTTGGGTCTCCCTCCACTGAGCGTTTGTTATCAATCACTTTAAACAGATAAAACAATACTGTTAATACTTTAATGAGCAGAGTCTGTCTCTAAGGACTGGAAATGAGGAATGACAAGCGCTGATAAAAATTCTTAGCCCTGCACATTAAGTAACTTGTCACCAACAATGATGAATAGCCTCCAGATTAACTCACACAAGTCAGGTTTTATAAAATGTTTTGGAGGAAATTATTTCAATTTAGCTGTAGGCTCCAAAGCCAGCCTATCCCCTGGGGTCTGGTACAGAGGTAAAGAAATCTGTGTTCCCTTTTTAAAAATTCATTTCTTCATCTAACCATTTCTTCAAAAAGGTTGAATGTAAATTTCTCCGCAATCTGCCCAGGAGTCTTAGGGAGAATGGGACACGATTATAATTAGATTATCTGAGCAATCAGCACAGACAACTAACTGGTAGAAAATTAATGGACTGAGATTTAACAGGATATTCATCTCTGCTCATGAATAAACATGTAAACAATGAATATTGTAAAGAAAACATGGAAAATCAAAGAACAAACTGTACCAGACATAGGGAGAAATGATTATTCATTTTCTTAATCTTTTCTTAGCCGACTTAATAAATCAAAAAAGTGTCAAACCAGGATTTTTTGTATAAAAGACTTGATTAATTTCCTAAGATAATTTTCACGACAATTAAATATTTCTTCTAAATGCAAGTGTACCTGTAAAACAAAGCTTAAAATTTATGTCACCCTAAATTAAGTTTGGGTGACATATTGTTATTGTTAAACCTATTTTTAATCTTTCCTATTGCATTTTCCTTTGTTAGTTGATGGATTTGAAATCATATAAATAAAAAGATAAACAATGAGGATTTTGAATAAATTCCTGTAATTTTCAGTGGCTTCCAGTCCTACCTCTGGGGCTCTGTATAACAAAGTCTGTAGTTCAAAGTCTTTGAAGTACAAGGCAACCTCCTTAAAATTGTTGTGGATGGCATTCCCAAAATCAATGACTGTCACAGAGCTCACATCAGAGGCTAGTAATACAGAAAACAACACAGTCATGAAAAAAATGACACATACATGTATATAATATTCTACATATTGAATGATGCACACACCTGCTTACCCCTTGTCTTACAAAGGTGTAAATAGCTATATCTCACAACCAATCTCAATGACCATTTAGTGTAGGAAAAAATTGTTAATTACTTAATTTTTTTTTTGTTTCTTTAATATTAAAAGTCATGAGTAAATGTTCAAGAGTACAGAAATCGAAAACATAATATGTATGCAGATAATGAACAGTATTCAAGCTCAAAAGTCCAACCAAACAATAACAAGAGGCCCACGGGCCTTATAGGTCACCTGAGTAACATGTAACAACTTTCCAACAACCGAATTTGGTTTGACTATTTTAAACCAAAAGCCTTGAAATTCACAATTTTGAAAGAGGCACCATTGTTTATCATAACTATACACCTAGCATTCTTATTTTGGTTACTTAATACCCAAAGGCAGATCAGAGTAACAGAGAGAAAATGCATGTCCACTTTATAACAACCAGTTGTGCACACCAACCCAGAGGAACCACTGACCCTGGGGACACATATTTCAAAATTTTGGAAATTTATAATTTATAAATGTCATTTCATCAGAAATGGGTGATTAATATCAAAAAAGCAGATTTCAAAGTATTACTTTATTTTCAGACTATGTAACCCCCCCCCCTCCCCACGTCTGAAGTACCCCTAACGCAGGGGCAATGAAATTAACCATTTTGGAAGAGGCATCTTTCTTCATCATAAATATATACTTAGATCATTGGCATTATACCAAGGAGCAAAGGAAAAGATTTCCAAAGAATTCATGTGTTTTCACAATATAATCATTATAGAGCCCAACCCTAACACCAGAACCCCTGACCCATGGGTCATGGAATTCACAAATTGGGAAGAAGCATCCTTCTTCACCATAACTATGTACATAGTTCATTGGTTTTATACCTAGGAGCATAGGAGAAGATTTTCACTATATAATCAACAGAGCCCCGCTCTAACACCAGAACCCCTGACCCTGGGGCCGTGAAATTCACAATTTTGGAAGAGGCAGACTTATTCAATATAACCATGTACTTGGTTGGCTTATTTCATACCCAGGAGAAGAGAAGAAGATTTTTTAAAGAATTAATGTATTTTCACTATATAAACAATTAAAGAGCCCCACCCTAACACCAGAACCCCTCACCCATGGGCTATAAAATTCACAATTTTAGAAGAGGCATTCTCGGTCATCATAACTATGTACATAATTTATTTGTTTAATACCCAGCAGCAGAGAAGATTTTCAAAGAATTAATGCATTTTCACTATATAACCAATAGTTGATGGTTGAGCAGTTTCAGAGAGGAAGCTGAAAATGTTCAAATGTTAACGCACAGTGCACGATGCACGACGACGGACAACAATGGATAGCAATAGGTCACCTGAGTTTACTCAGGTGACCTAAGAATCAGGAGCAGAGCAACAATTGACATCTTAAAATCTGAGGTGGGATCAGGTGCCATGGAGGAGTGAGCTTCCCCTGCCAACTGGTCGCACCCGCTATGGTCCCATAAAATTCACGTTTGTTGAGAAAAATGTGCATTAAATCTCATTAAACATATAATCAGCAAAACTAAAGGACAGCTCTCTGCCAGTGCTATTCTTTTAATTAATTATTTATTATTAGAATTTTATTTTTTGGCAATATCTTGAGACAGACTGCTGCAAAATTTCTCTCTTGCATACATTTTTTATAAGCATTGATACACCAATAACCAGAATTCATTAAAATATTGTCATGCTTATACAAAACAAAATACCAATCTCGTGAAAATAAAATGTGAATATGTTGTGATTTACAGTTATCATCATAAATAATATAAATTGTTTGTATGTTTCCGGTCACATAACTCCCAAATTTAATTAGGACATAACATTTATTTTACCCCCTCCCAATGTATTTCTCCTCTTTCTAAATTTTTTTTGTTTTAATCTTCAGATGATCTCACCATCTTTCTTTTAGATTTAGAGAAGAGACATATAAACCTGACTAATTAATATGAGAAAATGTGTACTTTCCTTTATCCTTAACAAGAGGCCCAGGGGCCACATCGCTCACCTGAGCAACTGGCTATGTAAAACTTAAAGCAAAAATCAGTTCAGTATTGAAAAGTTTAAATATAAAAGTGGGTTAAGGGAGGAGGGGGCATTGGGTATTCCAAAAAAAAACTTCAATTAATACTTCCTATGGATACTTTTAAATAAATATGATATATAATGACTTTGCTGTTTATACGATGAAATTTTTTTTATTGATATAGCCTTTGTATTCCTTTGTATAACTATGATCCACTTCAACAGCTCCTCTATATTTTGGTTGGTCATGATTTGAACAAACTTAATCTACACTACCTGAGGATGCTTCCATATAAATATGAACAATCACAGCTTAGATGTTTCTGAGAAGAGGATTTTTTAAAAGATTTTTCTTATGTATTCCTAAGTTAACTTTGATCCCCCCACTGTGACCCTACCTTACCCCTGGCGGTCATGATTTGAACAAATTTGAATCTACACCACATGAGGATGCTTCTATATAAATATAACCAATCATGACTTTGCTGTTCTTGAGAAGAAGATTTTTAAAGATTTTACCCATGTATTCCTATGTTAAACTTTGACCCCCATCATGGCCCCACCCTAGCCCTTGGGGTCATGATTTGAACAAATTTGAATCTCCACTACCTAAGGATGCTTCAACATGAGTTTCATCTTTCCTGGCTCAGTGGTTCTTGAGAAGAAGATTTGTAAAAGATACCATTAATTTTTCACTAATTCATAATTATCTCCCCTTAGAAGAAAGTGTTGCCATTCATTTGAACAAAATTGAATCCCCTTCACCTAAGGATACTCTGTAGTAAGTTTGGTTGAAATTGGCCCAATGGTTCTTTAGAAGAAGATGAAAATGTGAAAAGTTTATAACGACAAAGCCAACAACGACAGACAACAGACAAATTTTGATCAGAAAAGCTTACTTGAGCCTTCGGCTCAGGTGAGCTAAAAAAGTAACAAACTTAAACAGCATGGTGCGGCTTGGTGCCATACTAAATGGTGCTTGTTAATTGAATCTGAATTAAAGAATTATTGGAAAAGGAAATTAAAACGCATAATATTCAACAATTTTGTTTTTATTTTATGACTTGCGAGCTCACATCTCATTTTTCACTTGAATACTTAATGAATCAAGTAACCCTAGAGGGAATTAAAAATCCCTGAAAGAACATAAAGGTTTTAGAATGGTTATAAAGTACTGACAATAACCCATAATATTTCCATTATCATGAAAATAAATCCCATAGAAAATTACCCATTTCCTTAACGTTAGAAAATCACGACGACAAAAAAGGTACAGCACCTGTAACAAGAGAGCTGGGTAATTCTAGACCGTTTTCTGACTTTCTCTAATTGTCTCCTAAATCTCCACACAGTAACAATTTCAGACTGTTTTTCTATTATCCACGGCAACTAAACAGATCAAATTAAAACCTCATTATTTGTTTTTTATTGGAGAATTTCTCCTTCCTTGACTCATAAAAATGGTATCTGAATGGAGCCCTCCTCTCCAACTTAATAACATTTTGTGTATTGCTGTTGCTGGTATTCTTTATTATGAATACTTGATCTCTTTCACTCTTTAATATCAATCTTAACTGTTTTCTATCACTTCTAATGATTACACATTATGAGTACGCCAAATTGAAATTAAATTTTATCGGATTTCACCATCAAAGAAAGTAAATTAATGTGGATTAAACACAATGGGTGGAAAATAAAGGGCGTCTTACTGCCTCGGCGAAGGTTTGTCCCTGTGACAGGGACTACAGAATTGTCAAACGTAATCTCTCCGTGGAGAGATCTTTACAGATTTGCGTGCTCTTTCTGCTCACATTAATTCTGAATGGCTGAAAGCTTCTTAAGTAGAACATGTAACTGACAATAAATATTGACTAACAAAGTGAAATTGGACAATAGATCAGCACTTTGATTAAATCCACAGATTCTTAGTCAAGAGACGAATTACGAAATCACGACCACGGCTACAGCGAGTGTGACTTTAATCATCCTAGGTGCAGTTACCCTATTAGCTAATTTAATCTCTTTGTGACAATTGGACCGCTATGTGGCTTTCATCACAATTACCCTGGTGTCATATAAACTGTCGGACTAAGTCAAGGCCAGCCTCCTTAACAATTAATTCACTGCATCTCTTAAAACTAAAAAGCCAATATCTTGATAATTATCTCATAATTTGAGCTTCTGGTTGACAATCTAACCCTTATGAATCTAATATACTGTTTCTTTTATTAAAATTATGCAACATTATACGACTAGTGGAATCCATAAACAACCCAAGTGCAATAAAATAAAATAAGTAGCAGACTACAACTGACCCTATTTGTGAAAGTCAACAACTTAAATAAAGCCAACATAATACTAGGTCACTTGAACAACTTTTTGATAATCTGTCAAAAACACTAAGCACGGTTCAAATGTTATCAGTTTAAGTAATGCAAATCTCACATCATATTTTTTTCTTAACAGTTTGTATCTATTCTGACAACAATATTCAAGAAAGTTTTGTTTAAACATGTCTTAAAGTTACTTGACAATGTTCCTGCTCCAAAAACTTTAACCTGGTCACTCTTTTGGAAAATGTAGGTCAGATATATCCGAAGCAAGTTTAGATTGTTCATCCTCAGATGCATCATCCATGCAAGTTTGGTCCAGGTAGGTCTTATAGTTTCTCGAGAGTCACTCATCTGGAAAATGTAGGTCAGATCGAGCATCCGAAGCAAGTCTGGTAGTGCCAATCCTTTGATGCATCATCCATGCAAGTTTGGTCCGAGTAGGGCCTGTAGTTACTTGGGAATGGACCTGCTCCTAAAACTTTAACCTGGTCACTCATCTGGAAAATGTAGGTCTGATTCAGCATC